GTGGGCAGAGAAAAACTAGATGCAATAGTTATCTCATTAATCCTATTAACATTGTTTCTAACTTTAATTTTCTTATATAGGAAACCCAAGTTATCTTCAACAATAGTCAGCTGCCTGACCTTGGATATCTGTATAATCTAGGAGGACCAAGAGGAGTAACAGGAGATAAGTTGAATGTTAATATCACACAAGGAAGAATTAAGGGCAGGATTAACATGGTTGAAATTAATTTGTTGGAGGAGGGTATTCTGCCTATGTTGAAGATCCAAAATATTATTGGAAATGAAGTTAGAGGAAGCCCAACTATTCAATTTAATAACCCCTTTAAGTTTTTGGAGCTTATGGTAAATAGAGCAAATCAAGTTACCACTATAAAGAGCATCCCAAAATTTTGATACTTAAGCCAATAATTTTTAAAAAGAAATCTATGCTTAACATTATCATAATGAGAGTTTAATAACACCAGAGGGAAGTGATCAGAGAAACCATGATCATCAATTTTATATTAAGGGTAGGGGAATTGCTCAAGCCATTTATCATTAACTAGCATCCTATCAAGCTTAATTTGAATAGGGTTAACACTCATATATGATAAAACCAGGTTAAAAATGACCAGTAGAAATGAAATCATGAGCACCAATATTCAAAATAAGGTTATTAAAATTCCAAAGCTTACTATTCTAAATAAAATTACCACAAACATTTTCATTGTTGAACCTACAACAATTGAAATCCCCCAGAATAACCCAAGATAAATTAACATTAGAAGAAATGTTCCATATATCATTCCAGAGAGAAAGCCTGTAAAAGTGAGAAATGGAAGCATACATAACAGTAATATGACAAAGAGGAGTAACACCCGAAAAGAAAGTATCATGAATCAACTAACTAATGTAAAAAAGAACGCTGGAAAAAAAAAAACTTTGTTAGAGTTCTTCTTCTGTCAAATTCTGCTAGGATTAGAGACATCAAAATTGCTAAATGAAGCTTCATTTTCAAAAACCTTACGCTTGAGAAAAACCCTAGAATCAACATACAAGTGACAATGAATTTTAGCTTCTAAAATATACAGGAAATCTAAGCTGTAACGCCGAACAAATTGCTTACAATTTAACTAGCCTTTATGATTTTTCCTAATTTTGCCTCTTGGAATTTTTTTGGCTATTAAAACCCATAACATTCCTGATAAATTAGAAGCATTGGTAGCAACCAAAACTTCCACAAACTCATTATTTGTTTGAGCAGCATCATTTTGCAAAGCAGCAAAAATTATCAGTGGTGGTCACATTAATGTGGCTGTTCAACTACTGGCACTGTTTCTATAAAATAAATACTTATATGTTTATGCAATTTAAGGGAATAAAAAATCATTTTTCAATGTAAATTTATTTGAAGAGGATAATACATATTTGATTTACTGAATTCGAACAAATGCTAATAAATAATAATTAAAAAAAAAAAGCTAAAACATGTCAACTCTTGTTTTTCCTCTGAAAAAGTTATATTTCTAGATTTATGTTAACTGCTCTGAAATCTGAAGGCGACTTAAGCTGGCCATGCAGATTGACAAAGAATGGCCTAGCGGGGCTTCAGCTGTGATCGCCGAGCTTGTTTTTTTCCCCAAGCTGGTGAAGCTAAACTAAGGCCCTTCTTTTCAATGGAGATATTACTTTGGTTGGAAATCAAACTTACGCCTTTTCTTCTCTCCTTTTGATGGAGTTTTTGAATAAGAAATGCAGCAGAGAACCTTTGGCCATACGCAATAAATAGTTGAGCTAATAATGGATGAAGGAAGGAATTCTTTTGTGAGAATGGAAGCTAGAAATAACTAAAAAGAAAGCTAAGTGTCGACAGTCGTTTGTCCAATGAGCAAATATGATGCAAGATGGCTTGTGAAGGTAACTTGAGGCTTTTATAAGTTATTGAGGAGCTTGGATTAAATGAAAATTATTTATAATAAGAGGCATTTGTACATCCCAATATTCAAAATAATTCAATTCAAATTAACTCGACTTGATTTAAGCTAGATTAAACCGATTCAAGTCAACTTGATCTACTTGGTCTTGTACTTGCTAGCCTACAAGAGAACTCATCTAGCGCAGGCGACCAAGATTGAAGAGCTTGTCAAAGCTGGCAAGTAAAACCTATTAAAATTAGATGATGGCCCTAGCGATTACTATCTATGAAGTCGGCACAAAACTATTCGAGGAATGGCTAAATCTTTAATCAGCAACTCACCTACTTGAGTATTCGATAGATGAGTAAGATGACTACATCAAGTAGGCTATTAATACATTTTCTTTCCTTTTTTGAATATATATGTAGTTATGTATGTAGTCAATTCTATAACGCTTAAGCTCTAACTTGAGCTCATGATACACAATTTTACTCAATTTATCTCTAAGATGTAATTGTGTGTGCTCAAATTTATTTTACTAAAATAATAGAACTTCTTACTTTAGGATTCCTCTTTCTATTTTTATTTTTTATTCTCTTTTTTCTCTCGATATTTTTAATATTATTTAGTGTGATTCACAAACAATTGGATTCAACATTGCGCATTTGTAGAACTATTTTGTGGAAAAACAACTGGAAAAATGGTGTTACAACAAATTTTTTTGAATAATCTAGATAATTTAATCCTAATCAAACTAAGAAAATTATTTAAATTAGAGCGAATCAATCCAAATCATAAGTTGTGATTTCAAACTCTAATTTTCAAAAAAAAAAAAAAATGCACAAGCCATCTTGCAATTAATGCTTCGTTTGAGACAATTTTTTTATTGATTTTTAAATAAACTTTATAGTACAAAAATTTTTTGACCTATAAATTTTGGTATTAAAAAGCTTATTTAGAAAGTAATAAGAAAGCTGTTGCAAATAAAACTTAAATTGAATTTGTTTTAAAAATTTGAATCAGCCTCACAACTATACAAAAGATCACATTAATTTTCACCTTTGGAGAAGCAATATATTCAACCAATTTAGGTTTTGTTTGGAAAGACTTTTTTACTGCTTCTTAAAGCAACTTTCTTATACAAAAGCTTTAATTTTTGTATTAAAAAGCTACTTTAAGAAGTAGTAAAAATGTCGTCCCAAACGTAATCCTTTAGGTTAACAAAAGATTCACATTAATGTTCACATATTCAAAGGCGATTTAGAAGCTATTAATCTAATTATTGGGAGTTTTTTTCCCATTGATCCAATTTCGAGTGCACCTAATCTCTACTAATTTTTCTGATATATCACTTCAAAGCTTTATTATTCTCCAAAACAATTGATAAATTCTTAACATCTTTTTTTATTACTTTTTAAATAGCTTTTAAAAATAGTTAAAAAAATCATCCCAACAAAGCCTAAATAGCTCATCTCAAGCTCCAAAAAAAAAAAAAAAAACTAAGAGATTAGAATTCATAGAACCAGAAAACAAGAAATGAATTTAGGACATGATAATAAAATATGCAAATTAAATCTTTATTTAAAATAAAATGTCATAAATTATAATACATTTATAAACAATATATTTATTCTAAAATTTAATAAATTAGAGAAAAACGTAATTTCTACGCAGTGTAAAATGAATATATGCTCATGCCAAGATGTATTTGAAGAGATGCGAAATTTATATTATTAAAATTTAAAAAATTAGCATGCCAAATAAGATATCTAATCTTGCATGGTAGCCTGAATTTAATTCAGTCTATTTTTTCTTATGCATTAAATTTTGATCGTCCAAAATAGACTAAAAGGGTAAAGGTTATAACTGCAACTATAGCTGCAGGGTTGCAATTACTATCTCAGCTACAGAGATCTAAGTATCTAATAAATTAAGGTTTCATTTGAGTTAAAATAATTTTTAATAAATAAAAAGCAATAAGAAAGTCATCATTTTGTTTGAGATAGTATTCCAACCATTCAACAAAGCACGAAACTCTATTGGCTAATCCACCTTAAGTTCCACTTTCTTCATATGTAGAGGCTACATATCCTCTTCACATCTACAGTATAACCACACTAGGGCTGTCAAAATCGGGTCACGGGTCGGGTTCAGGTCCAACTCGGAACTAACCCGACACTGTTTGACCCGACCCATTTTTGCAAACGGCTCGGTTTTTCGGACCCTAACCCAACCTGCTTTGGATTCATGTCAACCTGAACCTGACCCGTTCGGGTATATTTTATTAATTTTTTTTATTTAATTCAATTTATTTAAACCAAAATCAAATTAAGGTAACATTTACTTCAATCAATTTAAAATAAATTAAGCTTAATTCAATTTGGAAAAATATGATTTATTATTTTTTGGAAATAATATTTATTTCTTTCATAACAATCTTTTAAAACCCTCCTAAATTTATTAAAAATAGGTCAAACCGTGTTGATTTCGGATTTCCGGGTCAACCCAAATCCGACCCGATTTTACAAACGGGTCGAAATCTCTAACCCAAACCCGACATGGTTAAAGTTCGGGTTGACCCGAACTAGAAATTTTCGAGTCGGATTCAGGTCGAGTTTTCGGATCGGGTCAAATATTGACACCCTTAAACCACCCCCCTACTGACTGACAGGCTTCCTCTTCCCAATATCCATACTCCATAGTGGAGAAATCCAAGGAGAATAGACCTGATTCTTCATATGGCACGTCTACTAAACCAATCCAACTACAACCCCTTTTCTCTATATAACGTCCATCCCTATCAATATATTTTGGAATGTGAGGGACCTTACGGATGAAGGTTCTATTCCTCATTTAAAAATCTGATCAAGAATCACAACATTGATATGTTGAGTCTATCCGAACTAAAATTTAATCCTGATCGTCTCAAAATCTTGTGGCTTTGAGAAAGTTACATAAGTTCGGGAATGAAATAAAGGCAAGGATTTCTGTAAGCTATTGCTACAATAGAAACTTAAGCAGATTTTCAGGAGTGAACGACACCTCTACTCATACTTTTACTCTACCTTTTGTTAATTCTGATCTTTTAATGCAAAGCAGTTCATTGATTTTAACTGAAAAAGGACTATTTTATTACCACCAAAATATACAAGTCACCTCTTATTTTGGCCTACATGTCATGTTCAGAGAATGTCAGAAATAATAATTCAAACAAGTTCAACGGCAACTATACCACCATATTATTCAACAAATCATTAACAAAAACAAAAAGAAATCTTAAGGATCATTTCTTTTCATTATTCAATCAAAATTATATCAATATGCTTACAGTTTCGCTGGATGTTCAGATTTTTTGGCCGGCACCCTTTAATGCAAGAAGTGCAACACCATATGAAGCTTCAGTTTGCAATGCACGGCGCACTGGCAAGCCCAGGAGTCGCTCCCTAATTTTTCTCCACTGCTCATTCTTTGCTCCTCCACCTGCTGTGAACACTTCCTCCACTTCAGTGGCCCCAAGCTCCTTGAGTAGTCTGTAGCCCTTTGCCTGAGCACAAGAGTCAGTCACACATAGGAGAGATTAGCATCACCATCTCAAACGGAATTTCAAAATATTGAAAGAAAAATTACAAAAAAAAGATTTGTGCTCCGTTACCTCTATTCTAGCAATGGATTCAAAAAGCCCGTGTAAGTATTCTGCATCACTTTGAGGTCGTGGATTCAATCTTATAAAAGCATTAGATAGAAAAATAAAAGTGTTAAATAAATATTTTGAGGGAAAATTACACAGAAGTCTCTTGAGTTTACCAAAAGTTTCATTTTGGTTCATTGTTTTTCAAAATATTAAATTTTTTCATAATGGCTTGCACATTGCAACTTGTGGCTCTAAGTTGTTGAACCTAAACACCAAACGGAATGTTTTGAAAACCATAATCATCATCATCAATAGCTTCGTTACTTCTAATTGTTTGGGATGAGCTCCTTGAATCCTAACTCTCCAATCATTTATATCCGATTTCTGCAAGAGATAAAACCATTTCCTTAAATATTTTTGTGCAAATTCCGTGCTTTGTAGTCCATCTTGCCCAAATGAAACTTTTGATAAACATTAGGAAACTTTTCATTTTGTTAAATTTTAAGTAGATGAATTGTAAAGTTGTTCCATTTATAAACAAACATCATTTTTAGTAAACCAAAAATAGAATACACACTGCAATAGGATCTGAAAGCCAATAAGCTAATAAACTCGATGTCTTGTAGACAGAAAATCTGATAAAAAATAGTAACAATTCATTTTCACTCATTCTATGCATGGAATTAAATTCATTGAATTTGATGGGCGCTATGTTTAAAATCCATATTTATTTCTAACCAATCAAATGATAGATAAAAATCTTATACCGTTTTCTAATATATATATATATATATTTTTTTTTATAAAAAAAAAAAATATATAACGATGTCTATCTACAATGAGACAGAAAATTATAATTTCTTAGGCCTCATATGGCAGGGAAGTATTTGATACCTGGGCATCATGTCTGGGTCTGCAATAGGAAACCGTTCCCCCTTTGATGGTAAAGGATAGTAATCCAGAGAAGAAGCCACCAAGGGATTAATTTCCTTGCTCAGGAATTCCAACTGCCTGTCTGTAAAAATTTGCTTAAGAACAGATCCTCCAGTATTCGAGGCACCGCCTACTAGCCACTTATCATCGAAGCGATGACTATACACACCATATCTTGAATCTTCAACAGAGGAGGTGCTTAAGAGCTTTATGGCCAGAGTTGAACCAAGTGATGTAACCTAGTCACAGTAAGCCAAAGTGTTGGAATAACAAAAATGCTACAAGTCTTGTGGCATTCTCTGGTTAAGCCATTTACAACCATCTCTTGGAAACTCACAGCTTTTCCTGGTTGGGTAACACGTGCTGCAAGAAAAGCTGCTATGCTATCGGTTGTTCCAGTGCAGACAACGCAATTTTTGGAAAAACCTGCGAGTAAGAGCATAACTAAAGGCTAGAGCATATTCTGCTGGCTGGATGAGAAGGGAAAAGGCATTCTTTTAACTGATTTTAACCAATCCCGACGCTTTAGATTAACAAAGTCATTATCTAACGGGTCAAAAGTAAACAAAAAATGGCATCATTTTAAGGGTTAAATGGGCTATCTGGAATGGTATGAATTATGCTGAGTATATTTAATTTAAGCGAAAGCAAAATGTTCTAACAGAAGGCTAACCAGCGCATGTAATATCGTAAAAGTAAAAAAAAAAAGTTTGGGGTTAAATTCACTAATCGAGCAAGCACTCCCAAACTACCAATGTGACGGAGTACATCTAATCCAAGCAACAAAGGGAAAAAAAGTTTACAATACAACCAAAATACCCTGTCGCTTTAAATTGACAAACATAATCAAATGGCAAGCGAAAGAGTGGATTATACCAAAAACAAAAATTGTGATAGGAACTGAATTCTGCTATCTAGAGCATTTTAAGCTGCTTTATCACTCCCAAAAGAAAGAAAAGAGAGAATTATGTAGAAGAAGGGGAACATTCATTATTCATCATAAAGCAGCTTAAAATAGGGTATTTATATGGTTACAAGCCTCGTACTCAAGTTAATTAGTCTACTAAGCTAATTACCAAGCTAATTACAATTAGGATGACTTCCCCTTCACAACAACCTTATCTTCAAGGTCGAACTTCCCAATCAACCAAATGGACGCAGTGGCCATCCATTTAGTTAAAATATCATGAACAGCCATTTTTGAGGCATTAGACCAATATTGGATTCACAAAAGAAGATATTGATGGATAGGCATATTATGAGACCAAGCAGCGCTTCAAATGAATAAAGAAAGAAGGTTTGCATCAACATCTTGTCAACAATAATTAGGGGTATCAATATTTGACACGACCTGAAAACTCGACTCGAACTCGACCCTAACATTCTAGGTTAGGGTCAACCCATTTTTGAAACGGGTCGGGTTCGGGTTCAACAAACATACCCGTTTCAAAAATCGGGTAGGGTTCGAGTTGACCCGGAAATCCGAGAATGAGCTGGAATGACCCAGAATAGGTCGCATGCCCGTGTCGCTTGCCCGCGTGCCTGCATCCCCTGCCACGTGCTCAAGTCGCTTGCCCGCATCGCATAAAGTCGCATGCCCACATCGCATAAAGTCGCATGCCCGCGTAGCCTACCGCGCCTACCCGAGTCTCCTGCCCACGTGCCAGAGTTGCCTGTCGTGCATCGCTCGTTGTCACGCCGCTGCCACTACCTGGACGTTGCCAGTGTCGTTATCTGGCCGCTGCAGCGTCACAAGAGAATAAGGGCGTGAACGGAAGGCCGACGGAAGTTTTACGGGCTGGTCGGGTTTGGTCTGAAAAATTGACCCATTAGCATAAACGGGTTGGATTCAAGTTGCCCCGAATAGTGCCGAGTAAGTTCTGGGTTCGACTCGAACCCGACCTGTGACCCAATTTTGACACCCCTATCAATAATAATATCAATCCTTATAACATCCACAATATCACACAATTTTGTAAGGACATTTATCCTTGAATTGGTCCTGAGCTTCGCAAAAAGAAGACACGATGTCCTCAATCATATCCTTTTTATATTTCTTTGAAGCACATTGCAATTAACCCCTTCAATTTTTTCTATGGCATATAGAATTGTAGAAGTAAAGTCTGTTGGTGCTGTCCATGATTTTTGTTGAACATGTAATCCAAGATGTTTTCAAGATTTGTTACTATCATGCTAATTTCTTTCAGAACATTAAAGGTAGAAGCCTCTTTTTTTATCAAATTATCAATTCTTGTGGAACAATACTTAATTAAGATATTATCAATGTCCATTAAAAGAAACTAGCTACAGCTCATTAACGAATTTCAAGAAAAACCTTCAATTGGATTTCACAGAATCCACGGAACCAAATCCACAGTTGTCTTTTATGGAGTGTGGAGCTAACTTTCACGGATATGGACAGTGGCGATGGTGCACCAGGCGAAAAAGGCTGAGAAGCTGGATCTGGATTAGAGACAAGATAACGACAATTATTGGATGGGACTCGTGAAAGCGTAGAAGTTCGTAGAACAGATTTAACACAGGTTTCTTGGACTTGGAGGAAAATGGGATCAAATCCATTAAAAAGCAAAGTTGCTAGTGGAGGTGGAGTTGAGGAGGTTGCCGAAATAGGAAGCTAGAGATATCTTGGATTGGATTTCAGATCCTGGCAGAATTTGCCAGAATTGGGGTCTGCAATGGGATACACGAAACCTGGGCATGCCGATTGTGATAGCAGTGGGGATTTGCCCGATCATGATACATGAAATGATTTTTCCTGCGCTCTGATAGGCTTAAGGCTTGACTAATGTCAGACCTTGAAGATTGGTTTGATGGAAGTTCTAAATACATGCCAGTTTTGAGAAATCAATGAAGCGATGCAAAGTAAGATTGAGGCAAACGTGATTCTTCATAAGCGAGCCGGGTTGATTCACGATTTTGGAAGATGTGCCAGGGACATAATATTAGCATGACTAGGGAAGACACGACTAGAAGTGAAATATAGGTGATTGGTATCTTGGATCAGCAAGAGAGCATTGAGATTTGCAAAGATTGGCGACAACGAACGAAGATACATAAGGCCGCAAAGGAACCAGGTCGAACCGAGCAAGTGTTTGTTCATCTTTGAGCTTGTTTATTATCAGCTTTTCAACCTTGGTTCTGGCTCAATTCGAGCTTTTTTATTTTTGTTCAAGCTTGAATCTTTTAAAAAGATAGATATTCATATTTGGTTAATTTCAGTTCATATTTGTTTCGTTTCGTGCGTATCAAACTTTAAACAAAATAGCCTTATCAAGCTATTAAAAAGCTTTAATTTTTAGATGTTCATTAGCTTAAAATTAGCTTTATCAAGCTTACTAATAAACAATTATCATAAAGCATGTTTGTGAACATATCTAGCTACCAAAGAAGCCCGTTCACAAACATATCTAGTGACTGTTTTTGAGCTATTAGATTGTGGGCTCTAAAAATTCGGCCCCGGCCTCCCTGCCGCGCAACTGTTTATTTTTTGCTTTCGGCGAGGGAGTTTTAACGGAATAAGTTCCGGGGTAAATTTTGGAAGGCAGATGGGTTTGTAGATAAGACACTACCCAGAGAAGTCTCCCTCATTTTGCGAGGACTTTATGATCTGAGTTCTAGTTTCCTATAGGCGCAAGCCCCTATAGTTAATTACCCCTCCCGATAACGAGAGAGAACTTTCGATTAAGGCTAGTCGTCAACCATATACGTATAGAGATACGTGTTATATGGCATATAGTGGCAGCATAAGTTTGGATTTGAAAAATTTGAAAGGGTTTGATATTTAAAATTAGAAATTGCACCATCTTGCACTTAAAGCGGATGGTGGGGGAATGGATGATGGACCCGATCAAGATCTCATGGTTCAGCCATCCCGGGCCATCGGGGTCACTGATCTACTTAGTCAGAGGAGGTAGTCGACCCAACCTGACAGAAGGATCCTTGTTGGCAGCCATGGGTTGCTTCGTCCAAGGGTACCTTGTAGACCTGTGGTGAATATTTGCCTAAAGGGATAAATTTGAATCCACCTTAGCTAACAGAGGGCTTTGTGCCCTATCGATCACATCCTATTGATTCATATCTCAAGGATTTGATGCCACTAAGGAGCGTATTGGCTATGACCATAACCGCTATCTGTGGTGCCATTTGGAGGCAAAACTACTCGGTTCAAAGGGTTCCAGGTCATAACCGTTTACCTGTAGTGCTATTTGGCGGCGAAACTGCTGGTTAGAGGACACGTACAACGTTCTTACTGGCAGGAGATTGTTTGAGAATGGATCATACTGATATTTTTGACTAGGCATTTAGCTCTTTTGTGAGCTGAAGTAAATTTTGATTTGTCCACCCGGCAAACTGTTGCAGAGGGTGGATGGATTTTGCTTTAAGCGATTGATAGTTTATTTCAATTTTAAATATTTTTTGGATTTTGAGATTTTGAGATTTTTGGAGTTTTGAATTTTAATGGGCATTTGGGTGGCATTATTGAAATGTTTGGAATGAATCCCTCCGGTTGAGATTTGTTGTTCAACACGACCATCATCAGCGTGTTCGGGGTCATTTCTCTTTTGTAGCTTGAACCTTGTCGACTCTATCTAGCTGTCGACAGAGGATCGGGTTTCGTAGGCTTTGTGCCTTTATTAGTAATTCTCTTGATTATAGACCTTGAATGCCTAATATGAATACAACAACAACAACATCAAGCCTTTATCCCACTACGTGGGGTCGGCTACATGAATCATTTTTCTCCATTGTGTCCTATTAAAAGTCAAATTCTCATTTAAATCTAATAAAGAAAGGTCATTCCTAATATTTTCTAACCAAGTCTTTTTAGGTCTACCCCTACCTTTCTTAACATAAGTAAAATCTAATACCTCTACTCTCCTAACCGGGTCATCGCAAGGCC